GTGTGAGAGTGTGTGTAAGAGTGTGAGTGAGTGAGTGAGTGAGAGTGTGGGGGTGTGTGTGTGTAAGAGTGTGAGTGAGAGTGTGGGAGAGTTTGTGTGTAAAGTATGGGTGAGTGAGAGAGTGAGAAAGAGTGTGTCGGAGTGAGTATGTGTGAGAGTGAGAGAGTGAGTGAGTGAGTCATTCATAGAATAACACTCTCTCTCTCTTGCACAAACCCTGGTGGGGGTCATCGCCACATCAGGCAAGCAAACACAGGGAGCTCAACAAGTTAAACATTACTCCTTTTATTTTCTGCAAACTGCTGCAAATATAATCACCTGCCCATTATAGTTTCCAATAAGTGAAAGTACACATGTGAATACTATCTACACTTTCTTTCTTCATTTGTCATTATTGCTCTTGTCTTTTTTTTGTATTTTAAATCTAACAGTTGTCTTCCTTCTCCTTTTAGCCTTTATAAAGTCACAGAATTTCCCCACACTCTCATCCTTTCCCTTTTCAAGTTGAATTAGACATTGCCCCATCTCCTTTGCTCAGATAAGAGGCTGGACTCATATTCATTTACTTGCCTCTTGTTGTTTGTCTCTAAACGTGACGCATATTCTCCACCTCAAGTTCATGTCAAAGTTACCAAACTACAAAATGGCATCACCCGCGGCACGGTGGCACAAATAGGTCACAGCTTTTACAGCCCATTGTTAAGGGGGGGCTTTGTGTGTTGCTTTGTGGCGAGGCTCGGCTGCCGCGTCTGTGCCAAATAATTGGAAAGAGATCATTAAACAAACAGGGCCTGTTTGTCTCTGCGTGCAAGGACAACCTGTGCAGCACGAAACACACCTCTGTCTCCTCGGGACATGTCTGGGCTTTAATATTCCTTCTTCTATAAATTGACCCACACGAGCACTTCTATAATAATTGTATAACTTCGCGTAAACGCCGAGGATTCCCGTGCGTAATTGGGTTAAGAGGATGAGATTCTGCATGAGTGGCTCTGCCGTGCGCAGCCCTAAGCCTGCTCTAATATTTAATTGTGAGAAATAATGGAGGAATTCCTTTTTCAACGACCTTGTTTAAAAACAACATGCTCAAAAAAATATTTTCACCCCAATAACTTTGATTTTTACATGCGTTTTATTTAGAGATTTGTTTCAGACACACGGAGCGCATTGGCATTCCTTTACATTAACAACACAGTTAATACCTGCACGTTTGTTCACAATTTTACCCACAACTTTCCTTGCTTAAAATACCAAAACGTCAGCATTATATTATGCGAGTTCTCACATTTTATTCTCTTTATTTCTTGCGTTTATTTTCAGAAGTTGTGTTTCACAAATGATCAATGATTTCTGCCGTGTTTGCCACTTGATTTACACAAAGAATCAGAATCTAAGATCCACTGCATTGGGTTTGATCTATTCTGATTAACCTCACTGAAAGATCCTCTTCGCTTAAATATGTGTGATTTGGTTCGTTATCCATCTGTTCTGGATTTACACCTGACGCGTCCAGCAAGTGCTCTGCGAAATCATTCTGGCTTTTTTCGACGAGCGTACTCCAAACAGAAAGCGGTGGATGGAGACATGACTTCAACATCTTTACGATTTTATTTATAGGGCCAAACTCCCAAGAAAAACTCAGAGTCTTCCTGGGAAATTGTGGCAAGTGAAACTAATTTTTTTACGCATTAAAGAGACTTAAAATTCAGTCTATAGAGGCCTGTGAGTGTCTGGATTAGAGGAGGAGATAATTCTCCCGATTCCCCCACCAGAAATATTTTATTCTATTCTTTGAGCAACTTTATGATCGACAAGGAGCTGCGTAAAGACGCGGCCGAATGTGTCCAAGTGCGCACACGCGATTACAGCTCCAAAAAAGGAAATGAATGAACAGAAACAGATCAAATTAATGAAATCTCATGTTTATTAAAATCATCGCATGCAGTGGAAACATCCCAACAGGAACATTTAGTGGAATAGTGAAAACAATTCAATAAATGTTTTCTGAAATCACAACTGTGGTTTTAAAGTTGGATTTTGTTCAATAATAAGTTCATTTGTTTGATTTACTGTTTCTATCTGTTAAACTAATGTGTCATGGCACAAACTGGAAAGAAATTCAGCTAAGACTAAAATATTATTACATTGGGGGAAAAAATTTAAGTGATGTCCTTAAAATACAATAAGTTAATGATGCAAGTTTTCCTCCGTGAATGAGAAAAGTTGCTGAACCTGACTTCTCAGTCTCCTCTCCGCATGCTCCTGTGTCTGCTCCTCTCTCCTCCTGCTCCCTGTGCGCTCTGGCTGCGCGCTGCTGTTTTCCAGGGGAGCTCCTTATAAATAAAATCCAGCGTCTCCGGCTCCTCTTCCTTATTGGTCAGGTGGAGCCGTTACCTCACTCCGGGGCCGGTGACGCAGCGTCTTCACGTATCCTTGACGCGCGTCTCCCCTCGTTCCTTATTGAGAGTCTTGCCGTCGGTCAGAGCCGAAGAGACACGGTGCGCTCGATACCACACACTTCCCATCCCGGGAGGAGAGCGGCGCACAAGAGCAACCTCTCTCTCTCTCATTATCTCTCTCCCTCCCGAACACACGCTCACGCCCGCGCGCACGCACGCCCTGCATACGTCTCCACTTCGCAGTGGCAAAATTACGGCACTGATCTCAACGGCGAGTGCGGATCTGTCTCCTGTGTTCGCCCCCTTTTCTTCGACGGACCGACTTTGGGACAACGCTCCTCGGGAGAGAAGTACGTACAAACTTGTTGTTTATATCTTGTGTTCTGTGCCGTGTGTTTGTGGGATTTGTCCGATCGCATCGTGTTTTCGGTGCAACTTAACTTCCACTGTTCTTCCACGCATCCAGATGGTTTCTTTTATTTGACTTCTTGCGCGTCAGTCTCCGAGGGTTTGTGACTTTTCGCGACTCTGTGGGTTAAAAGTGGCCGCGTGGGCTGAAATCTCTGGCAGAAGTTTCTTTTTGAAATTAAACCGGAGCTTTTTGTTCGCTGTTTGCTGCCGTGCTCCTGCTCTGATTGTGGATTGTGCGGACACAAAGTCGCACGGATTTTACGCTCCTGTAGTGTGGCTTTTAAATTCCCTGCTCATTGAACGTAGTGATGAGCTTTAACATCACGCTGCTCCTGTTCTGTTTCTTAAATACAAACATGAAATATGATATGAGGGAAAAAAAATCCTCAAGTAGCCGAATATACCATCCACATCAGTCACACACGCGCGCAATCTGCTTTATTTACCTCCTTCTGTTTTGGCTCTTTTCTAGTTAAAGCGAACTTTATTTGCTCTATAATAAAATAATTAACAGCATGTTTTAGTTCCGATGGACTTTGTCCTGCTGCTGCTTGTGTCCTCGCCGTGGACTATAACTCTTGTTTGGAGAGTGACATCCATCTCCGCGTATTTGCCGTGCGTAAAAATAACAGCTTGTGTTTTCTGTCAGTCTCTGGACAGCGGTGCTCTCTGCCCAGAGCGCACACACAGGAACACCAAGGAAATAACGAGGGGGAGATTCCTTTTGCGCTTTTTTTAACCTTACTTTAACTACAAGATTCCTTTTAGCAGCAAAGTAAAATGTGTGCAAATTATGACCTCCATTACAAAAAGTTTGATTTCCAAAAATCACTTTGACCCCGTTTTCCCTTTATCTCATTTTAAGCCACAAGTGGGGTATGGGGTATATGAGGTATAAGGAATTTTAGATGAAACCGTAATGTTCATGGAACAAAGAGAAATGAATTCACCCAGGAGCCACCATACACTTGCATTCCTTGTAAATGAAAACGTGCCTTTTACAGTTATTCATCAGTTACTTCCCATTTCACTTCAATTCAAGAGTGACTTTTTCCTGCTCTTCAAATTCAGATTAGAACTAAAGTTTCTGTTTTGATGCAGAAACCACAAACACACACACACACACTCTCACATCTCCTTTCATTGCTCACCGTTCACAGAAGCTCACATGAGCAATAATGTAAGAGATCTTATTTTGTGTTATCACGTTCTGTGCTGTAGGATAATTCTGTCCGTACTCAGAGAAAAGACGATCAAAACTTTTTTTTCTTCCTCTCACAGGAAACATTTGCTGTTTTTACACAGCTAGGCCCCCAACTTGACCTCAGACACAAAAAGTTTTCAAGCTCTTTGGACCTCCCCCCCTCTAATCTAAACTATTTGTGTTGTCCTCTGCTCCCTGTACCAGACCTCTGCCCAGAGTAATGCCAAGGAACCAATAACGCAAACAGTGAGCAATGTGTGTATGCATGCATGGACTGTGCAAGTGTGTATCTGGGTCACTGCTGGCAACTGTGCTGAACACCACTTGTACACAACGCTGAAATTTGGAGTTACATTTAAGTAATCCTCCTCCTCAGAATCCTCTTCATTGAAGTATTTCATTTAACGATGGCTGTGCAGGAGCACGACAGTGTCCGCTTTGTCGCCTGTTGTTTGGCGATTGCAAAAGCGTCTAGTTTGTGTCCTCGAATCACTTTGAACGTGTGTTCGAGCACATTTGCAGCTTCAGTCTTTCTTTAAAAGCCGCCTGTCGTGATACGGTTGCACAACCGTGTTGTTAACACTGGATTGAAAACTGCTTGGCTTCCCGTGAGTTCAGGCACAGCTCTGCCAAACTGTTGTAGGAGGCAGCTTGAATTTGTGAAATATTTCCATTGACCTGACCCTGAAATCACTTGCAAAACAGATGCAAACATGAAAAACGCTGTGAGCAAATCTTTTTTCTTTGTTAGATTAGATACCTCAATTCAATAAAGGAAGCAATGCTGAAAAGGTTTCAATCATCTGTGGATCAAATTCCATTTTGGCCTGAGACTTTTGTGTCTTAGGTTTTGATAGTTTAGTTTGGAAATGTTTGGCAACTACCTCAGCCAATGGACATAGAGCTGGGAGTTTTGGGACACGGATGAAGCCAGTTTTTTTCTACATTTCCCAACCTTAGTACAGTTTTAGCAGCTTTCAGAGCATCAATATTTTCAGTTATCTGCGTAATAAAATAAAAAAGATGCACCACATAGAAAACCTGAATAGAACTAATTAAAATGTAACGACCAAAATTCACTGCTTTTGATGGATATTCTTTTTTTTCTTGAGAGTGTAGTTAGTGACAGTAAGAGAGCGTCTGTCGATTCCTCACAGCTCCTCACAAGATGTAGAAATCAAGGTTAGCCCTCAGGGGGAGGAGGAAAAGGGAAATTATTTTTGTTATTACAGGCAGGTGTTATTCTTCTGTGGTTATATCTCCTTGAACTATTTTTGAGAGGGTGCTGGCTTGTGTATGGTTTTCGGACAAGAAATACACTATGATTAGTTTTTCTGTACAAGTCCCCTTTGCTTTTGTAAGACGTGTTGATTTCTGTCATTTGAAATAGTTTGAAATCAAATACACTCAAATGTTGTGTACTTTAATTAATTCCTGAAGTTTAGAGCTCACATTTTGAAATATTTTCTTTTCCACTTTTCTGCACAAAGTTTTATTTTCAACATAAGGAAAAAAAAACAAAATGAAAGAAAACTTTCATACTTTATAAATGGTCAAATTACCACTGTATTCAAAATGAAAATCATTGGTGTCTGTGTTTATTTATTTTCGTAGTTGACCAGGTAAAACCTCTCATCCTGCATGTGTCTGTGAGGACCCCTGGTCATGTCCGATTAGCTGCCCTGCGTGATGCCTGATCATGACAGCACCACCCTCCTAACCAGACAGACGAAGCGCCGACGTGTCGACATCGGGGTGAAAAGGACTGTGGGTAGCGTAATATTCACCCGTGCCAGGGAGAACCTGTTCGACAGCATGAACCAATCGCATGGGCCCGATCAGGACGGAGACTGCTCGTTGGTCAGTCATAGCCACGGGGGCATGAGCGGCGATGGAGAGAAGTCGAATGTCTTGAGGAAGTTGCTGAAGAGGACCAACTCGTATGAAGACACCATAATGCCGTTCCCCGGTGTAACCATCATCTCTCAGCTATTGAAGAATAACATGGGAAAGAATGGAGGGAGTGACTCAGGCTTCCAGGTACAAACACTGTATTTCACCCAGGAAAAGCAATTATAATGCCTGCAATCCTCATCCAATAAATCATGAGTTCACAAAATTTCTCTCTGTTGTCCATTACAGGGGAGTGGTGCTCTGTCCAGCGGAGGCTCGGAGATCCAGGCCGAAGATGCCTGCAGCAACTCCTCCCGCGACCAGGACAGCCCATCTGACTGCCTCTCTCCTGGGCCTCCTCTTCCCCCTTCATCTTCCTCTTCATCCTTCGGGCGACCACCGCCTCCTTTGGGCCTCAACTCCCACGCTCCCTCTCAGACCCTCTCACTCTCCTCCTTCGACTTGGACCGGCTGTCGGATGAGCACCTTCGTGCAAAACGCGCCCGCGTGGAAAACATCATCCGTGGCATGAGCCATTCGCCGCTGGTCCGGCCCAGTGCCGGCGACCACAACCAAGAAAGCAACCGCGACAATGTGAACAGCAGCAGCAACAGCAGCAATGATCACAGAGGAGACGGCGGCAGCCACAACATCAGCAACCACGGCCACATCCGGAGCGACTGTCCCTCCCTCATGAGCTCTCCAGGCTCCCGCGCCGTTGTCGTTGGTGAGGTTTACCGAGAGAATAAGAGAAAGCAGCGTCTGCCGCAGCAGCAACACAGCTTCACCCAGCTGGTGTGTTCCAGGCAGGAGCAAAGACAGGAAGAGAGACGGCAGCTCAAACTGCAACTGGAGGACATGCAGGTTGGTAGCAGATGACAATAAGAATTGTTGTTTGAAACAGAAATGCATATTCTGTTATACACTATATGTTTTCGATGTAGAATGGTAGTTCATTACTTATTTCAAATTTCAAGGGATTGGGTAGTTTATTGAGCAACATTTGACATTCGAAAAATACGCAGATACCTGTTCCTGGGTCTAAAAGAAGGCCAACTTTTCAAGTGGCAGAAAAGGAAAAATACACCGTATGGATATTGAATGTCTACCCAGAGAGTGGATGTAGAAAATCAGTGCTTGGTGTCAAAGCAGGGGTTTTCCTCTCTATCATAAAGAGCCCCTTAAGAACAATTTCTCCGGAGGGCACTTCCTTTCCTGACAAACGAGTAAATGTGATGTTTTGTACACGTAAAACAGAAGAACAAAAATGGTGTATGAGGCCTCTTACAACTTTATAATTTCTTCTTCCAATGATATTTAAAGATATGGTAACAGGTTACCTTCATTTTTGTGAGACATCCTCAGTAATATTCTCTATTTTCTTGGTTAGAAACAACTACGGCAACTGCAGGAGAAGTTCTACCAGATATATGATTCCGAGACAGAGGAAGAGGAGGAGAATGGCGAAAGTGGAGAGGCGGACCGAGGAGGAGAAAGAGAGGAGGATGGTAACTTGTCAGAGGACAGTATACGCTCTGATGGCTTGGAGGAAAGGCACAGGGACAGGGGGCGACACAGACACGAAGAGCTGTCCGAGCTGGACCCAGGTCTCTTCCTGGACCGGGCCCGAGCCCTCCTTCGAGAACAAGCACTGTTAGATGGAGAAATAGAGGAAGATGTGGACGGCAGGGAGGAGGAGGAGAGGAACGAAGAAAGGGTGATGAAGAGGAGAGGGGCCGCAGCAGGACGAGGGGGAGGAGGAAGGCAGTTAGCAGAGACACTGAAGCAGGAGCTGAACTGCGCCGTGTCGCAGGTTGTTGACACCGTCGTCAAGGGCTTCGCTTCACCCAAGCAGACCATCAGTCACCATCATGGCTGCCACAGTAACACACCAGCAGCACCCTCCTCTTCCTCAAACTCATCCTCCTCCTGTCCCCCACCTTTCGGGCCTCTCCCCTCCCTCACCCCTCCCTCACGATTTAGCGGCGGCGCTCTGGCCCTCACTCTCAACGGTGACGGCAGTCCCACTCCAAACTATCACTCCTCCAACCAGAGGCTGCACTGCTTCGGCGATGTTATTGTCCCGAGCCCGATGGATTCATTCGGAGGCTTGAGTGGCAGACTGAGTGGTGTACCGACACCGAACGACCAAACAGAGGCATTGCCGCTGGTTGTGCGCAAGAGTGGCGGAGGCAACGGAGGAGAGAACATCAACCCTTCTCTTCCTCCTCCTCCTCCTCCTCCTCCTCACCACCATCCCTCTCTCCATTCCTCTCCCCTCACGGCCTCTCTCGGTTTTAGCCCTCCATCGTTTCGCCACCCGTTCCCTCTTCCCCTCATGGGTTACCCCTTCCAGAGCCCCCTGGGGTCACATGGGGGCGGAGCTGGCTACCCTCCAGGGCCCAAGGACCACCATCGGTCCTCCCCCGATTCACTGGACATGACCCGGGAAACGATCAGCCTCAGAACCAAAATGGCATCCCTCGGAGGGGGTCATTTCAGTCACCACCACCACCACCACCACCACAGGCAGAGTTCACCGAACCAGCATGGACCAGAGGGTCTGTCCCTGGCTCTCATCAAGTCTGAGTGTGGAGACCTGCAAGACATTGCTGACATATCGCCCTACTCAGGCAGCACTGTATCCTTGTTACTGACATAAGTGGGTATGACTTTGCTTGCTTTAAATCAAATTTCTCATTTGATTTTTAATTTTTTGTCCAGCTCTGCACACCATGAAGAACTAGAATGGCACTCAGTAGAGCGTAAACCTCCGCCGAGGCCCAACAGTCAATCAAGCTGCACCAAATTTTAGTTCTGTAAATGTGCTTTTAGTTTTTACTCAAGATCCACCAATTATTTAAAGCCCTTTTATCTCACACACATTTTAAGTAATCCTGTTAGCTATCGGACAAACATGAAAAATTATATTTATTTTGCTACTACACACGTGTCACACACACCGAGACATCTTCTAGGCAACAGCAGCAGGAAGTCCTCACAGTGAGTCTTACACGTCAATTAATCTGCATTAATTGGTTCCTGGTCTCACCCTCTTGTTTTCCTTGCTGAGTGGGGAAGATGAAAAGGGACGCGCAGGGTCTTGCAAGAGGGGGAAGATTAAACAGGTCTCACACTGCTCTCTCTCTCTCTTTTAAGTCTGTGCAGCAGGTTGCGGTGTTTAAAGGTGCTGAGAAAGGACGATGAGCTGCCTCTTCAACACACACACACACACACACACACACACACACACACTGTTCCCACAGTCTGGGACACTTGTGCTGTTTGGTTCTCTTTCATCACAAAGACTTTGTACATAAATGCTCAAAGCAAATCATATTTCACTTTGTCCGTGCATGCGTGTGTACGTGCGTGTGGGTGTGGGGTAGGACCTTGTACATAGGAGCTCAAAGCTAATCATATTTCAAAGAGCGCAGCAGAAGGACAGGTGAATGCTTGGGCCTCATTGATGGGAGCGTTCTAAATTCAGCGTGTGTGTGTTTGTGGGCGCACATAAGGAGAAGTGTGATATCCACAATGCAAACGTTGGTTTCCTCTTTACAGCTTTTAGCTCATGTCTCCCACCCCCTTGTTGTCGAAACTTGCTTTCATTTGCTGGCCTTCGCTCTCGGTTGCTCGGCAGATGTGCGCGTGTTGTTTGCCTCCTTTCGTAGCGCGCACACAGAAACACACACCCCCTTTCATGGCGCATGCATGAGGACAGGTGTTTGCAGGTAGCTGTTTATCTTTTTCGTTTCTAACCTTTCATATGGAGAGGGCTTCTCCTGGCCACTACCCGCGCTCATGCTTTGCACACAAACAGGCACTTGTGTGTGTGTTTTTGCTCACGTACACACACACACACACGTGCACGTTTGAAGAACAAAGTGAAAAGAAAAAATAAGACTTTGAACCTGACAAATAGGAACTCCTTATACCGCTGTGATGAGGATTTGATCACAGTGTCGTCTTCAAAGACAATTTAGATGTTGCTTTAATTAAAAAAAAAAATATTTGACACGTCTCTTGATCCTGCTGAGCCGTTTCATTCCAAAATGCTTCCCCATTCATTTAGAGTAAAAAAAAATCTTTGAAATTGGACATTTATATTTCAAAGGTACCGGCCACCCTTCAACCCTGCCTTTTTATTTTGCAGGTAAAAAATGTCATTTTAATGCCAGCACTTCGTTTTTATTTCAAGATAAAGTCTGAATGAAGTTAATACTTTTGTTCTTGCAAGGATTGGTTTAATTAATCCATTCATTGGATGAACAGGAAATTGAAACAAAAGATTGAATGAAAATATGAAAAGCATTTTGCGGTTACAGAATTTAATTTTAATCAGAAATGAACGGATTACATTTACATTGGACAAAATGAGTAATCAAAAAGATGATCGACTGATGAATTGATGATTGAAAATTGGATTTGTGGGACCAGCACGTCAACATTTTAATCATCCAGTACCACTTACTGAACTATCCAAGTTTAATAGAAAAAATAAACTACATTAAATTATACAGATCCAAATATTTCCACTGCCAACTGCATTTGCATTTAATATGTTAAAAGCGCTCAGACTTCCTGTGGTCACTCATGTTTTAAATGTAAATGAAAACATCCGAGTTTAATTTAGGTTCTCAAAAAGTCTGCGTTTCATAAAAACTGCTGTTTGCTGTTCTCCCTCTTCTCGTTTCCTCGACCGCTCTAGTTTAACAAGCGCATTCTTGTTTGATTTACTCGGTCGGAATAAATGGTGATGGCACCGTCCGAGGATTTAAGGCTTCAAGGAAGCCTGGTGGTTCGGTTAAGGTGTTTTGCATCAATCGTATTTCACCTGAAAGGCGCACAAACACCACAAAAACAGAACACACACGCTCCATCTCTCAGGTCTGTGTATCTGTAATCCTCTCCACAGTGCTGAGCAGATGTCCCCCTTTTATTTATTAATTTAACCCCCCTCCTCGCTCTCTACTCCTTCTCACACACACACACACACACACACACACACACACACACACACAGACACACACACCTGGCAGCAAGGTCAAGTTACAGCTGATACAGTGAGCGCTGCACAAAACACACAACGCGCACACACACACACACAGAAGAATCAAGAAGAACCCACACCGCAGTAGGAGAGAAGGGGGGAGAAGACGAACATCACCGATTTCATTTATTCACTGAGTCACGTTAGCTACACACACAAATGATCTTTTTATTCATCATGATGCTGCTTCACACTGTTTACTCTGAGTCATGCGTGTGTGCTTCAGCATGTTTGTCCCTGGACACAGGTTGGTATGAATGTTAACCAGGCGATGGTGTTGTTGTCCGGTGACCTGACGTAGCCACTGCTCGATGAATGACACACACACAGCTCACCGCTCTTTAGGCATCGAGGCCAAGCGTGCGGCGCGGTGGTGTCACGGTCACATCTAACATTTAGTTACTTCTCATACTTATCATGAAGAAAAATGCCAAACTAAAATTTCTCCTCTGCTTCCTGTCCTGACGCTCTTTCTTTACACTTTATTAACTTTCTTTCTCTTCCTCCTTTACCGATTTCTGATGATGCGACTCTCCCTCTTTCCTTGTCCCTCTTTCCAGCCATATAGGGCCCCTGGGGTTTATGTGTGTGTGTGTGTGTGTAATTGTCTGTGTGCTAATTGACCTTGCAGGGGGTTCCATTGATTGCCTCATCTTCTCTGATAGATTATAGGGCTGTTAATGTGGTGGGGAAATGGCAGCGTGGTGGGCCACAGCTGTTGTCACACACACACTCACGTTGCACTTACACACTCACATTTGGTGGACCTGCAACCGGGGCCTCCACAATTATTATTTTCCTTGTTGAGACAATGGGATTGACATTGGGGCTGCGGACTCAGTTAGATGCAGGAGTGACTGTGGGATTTGATCCAAACCCAGCAGGTGCTCGTGTTTGCTTTTTGCTCTAGGTGTAAAACTCCACGCCGATCACCGACCTTGGACTCTACTATTGTACATCTGAATTTCTAAGGCTGTGTTGAATGGCACAGTTGATTACAGGTGGTCAGTGCTTTTCTTTGAACTTTGCAATCTTTAAAAAGAAAAAATGCAACTCCATCACCGATCACTCTGAGGAGGAATAAATCTCTCATCCTTGTCTTTGCACTAGATTCTACAGATTTCAGTTTAAATAAAGAAAGATAAAAAAGGGATAGGCCTTTTTTGGGGCCCCTACGATGAGCATTGCAGACTTTTTCTGTCTTAATATAATCATGTGCACTGACTGAGAAACAAAATAATTTTTCAATGATTTGTTGCTACTTGCTCGCTGGCTCCTTAACACCTTACTCAGATCCAGGAGGGTTTGTCTCCCAACCACCTGAAGAAAGCCAAGCTGATGTTCTTCTATGCCCGTTACCCTTCCTCCAACATGCTCAAAATGTTCTTCTCCGACGTCAAGGTAAGACCTTGCCCTCCTCTTTTCTTCCTAGCACCTTTCTTTTTCTCTATGAATGTCTTATCTCTCGTAATTCTCTTTGAATTATTACTTCTTTTGTTTTTTCATATCTAGTCGCTCCTTTGTGCCTTTTTTCACCCGACTCTTTGTTTTGACCCTGAATTGACTGTATTTATTTCTCAACAGAAGAGTTTTCTTGTTTTTACAACAGGTTCGAAACAATGAAAGACAGCTTAAACTTGATAAATGCCCCACACACACACACACACACACACACACACACACACAGACACACACACACACAATGTCTCACAATGAACCAAAAGGCAAGAAATTAATGAACATACAAGGTTTCAAAATAAAAAGTACTAATTTTAACCACTTAACTACATTTTTGCTAACAGGACACACATGTTGGTAGTAGATGCTAAAAAACTAGATTTAAAAAAGTCATGTTTGCATTGTAAATCTGCCTTGTCGAGATAAAATCCTCAGTGTGTATGTGTACGAGCGCATATAAGACAGAGCAGGAAAAAGTGAGTCATACCATGAGGAGTGATACAAAAAGCCATGCGGCGCCTGTCAGGCCGAGCGATGGGAATTCAAAGGCATCTTTAGAATCAGATCTCAAAATCTCATCGTGACAGATGGTGCAGATGAACTGTTGTTGATAGGTACGGGTCTTTGTGTGAGGCCTCCATTTAGATTTGGTTACACTTTGGTTTTTATTTTACATCATTGTTGTTTATTCCAATGTCAGACACATTTCTGATAATATTCAGTTATTTGTTTTTTTGTGCATTACTCCGTTACTCAGCATGTGTGTGTGTGTGTGTGTGTGTGT